AAGATATACCTCCCTTCTCTTACAGCACACTAAATGGATTTCACAGGTAGACAAAAGTGAAATGGGAAGGTCAAAAGAAAAGAAGGGAGAAGGGCACTGAGTGAAACCAACAAAGAGGCAAGAGAAAGCCTGAGAGGGTCAAGGGAGGACAGAGCTTGGGAAAGTGCCCGAAAAGACCCCCATGCAGATGAGACTGAAACTCAGATCAAGCAGGAAGAAATCTGAGAAGTAGAGTGGGCCTCGGACTGCTGTGCTACCCTGAGTTGGTTGCTGAACCTCTCTGGACCTCTGCTCCTCATCTACCAGATGAGGCATCTGGAGACTGAGGGTTTGGCCTGGGGGTACCTGGTGGGTCTCTGGCTCCAGTGCCCCAGCCAGGAATACTTGCACCTCTCCCTTCCCCACTGCCCACCTTTCCCATCAGCCCCAGCACATCTTTGGTGCCCTGAATTCCTTGTTCCAGGTACTCGATGGCTTTCTTCACAGTGCGGGGCCTGCCTGAGGTGAGGTCCACCCGGCCTCTGAGCACATAGCCCTGGGATGAGAACAAGATGAAAGATATAGTCCTTGGTCTGCAGAGCCTTGACGGAGCCTGCACATGACCCACCCTTTGCCACCCACCAGCCTGAGGCCTTGCCAGGCACAGCCATGTGCAGATCCCAGGCCAGCTAGCTCTCTCTCACGGCCAGGTCTCCCACTGTTGCTTCATCTGGAAATGCCCTGCAGCAGCCCTCCCACTCCCAAGCAAACCCCTTCACCTGATGTCCTGCTACCACTCCTTACAACTCAGCCTCGGAGGGCCCCGCTTAGGAGACCTCCCTCCCGTACCCTCACAGCTCTCTATGACCTTACTAAGGCACACTCACCTGTCCAGTCATTGCCTGTTTACACTGGGGTCGGGAGCGAACATGGGGGCCTAGGCAGGGCCACTCCTGATCTCGCCACTCCTTAGGCCAGCACAAGACCTGGCAATGCACAGGAAGCCCGGGAAAGCCCTCTGAGGGGTGCGCAGGAGCCATGCTGAGCTCCTGAGCCTCGCTGGTTTCACGTTAGCCTTCCCCCAGTCTCTTCTGGCAGAGGGGGAGGGCCAGGCCTGGGAAGCAGACTTGGAAGACTCTGCCTGAAAGCACCCTTGTTGATGGCCTAGATCAGTATTGCTCTTTTCTATTATCTATCCTAAGGAGTCTCTTTAGATACTGTTTTCTAATCAATCCCCCCACCTTAGAAATGTTAATATCTCAGATATACCGTATCTGTCTACTGTGTACTGTATGTATATCTGTGTTTTGTACATAAAGAGTAAGATTTTTTTCACCCCCACCCCAGGGACCACATCTACACCCTTGAAAATTAATGTCAACCCTGCTGAGAAGGAATGGCCTAGACTGAGGCTTCAACTCCCATATTAGTGCAGATATGCAGTCTGTTGGCTGCACTGCAGGAGCCACCATTCAGTTCTGGCCAAGCACTACAGGGCGGGAATGGCCCAGTATGGCCAGCTCAACTGGGTTTTCAAAAGAACCAGTGAGTCTGGACCAGCCTGGGCAACATGGCAAGACCCAGTCTCTATAAAAACTTTAAAAACTAGCTGGATGTGCTGGCACACACCTATGGTCCCAGCTACTTGGGAGGCTGAGGTGGGAGGATTGCTTGTACCCAGGTTGTGGCTGCAGTCAGGTCTCAAAAAATTTTTTTCTTAAGAATATGGTGGAAGCCGTAGAAAATCTATCTAGAGATCAGACTCTGTGGACAAATGCCAATGTCCTCTGCTAAGCCCAGCGACAATATGCTTGGGGCTCCTGTGAGACCTGGCGTTTTGTCAATGGCTGGGTGTGGCTCTCCCCCAGCTTCAGGGCCCTTTGTGGGAGTAAGGTGGCACCTGCTGTGATGTGTTTGGCTGCTGTCCCCATGGTGTGGTCAGTACCTCTCTGAAGCCTCTAGAGACCTTCAGCGTGTGGTTAATGTACTCTTTGGCCTTGTCACGGTGGCCCATGAGCGAGAGGAAGAGGCCAGCATAGTACAGGGCAGTCCCACTGGCTGTCTTGCGTCTATCCTTGAGGCTGTACTCGAGCTCCTGAATTGCTTCTCGGTCTGTGAATCCAAGAGTGAAGGAAGAGGGAGAGTTAGGACGAGGAAGTCTGCCTGGGTCTGCAGGGCCTTGGAGGGCCCAGGAAACAGCCTCTGGGTCTCCCTCAGACACTGCGCGTCTCCCTCAACATATGCAGCCCAAGGCCTGGAAACCAGCAGTCCCTGCCCTGGAGATGCCACAGGGGCTGCCCTGGCCTGGGCTCAGCTATGCTGTCTGAGATTCTCTTCTCTCCTCTGTGTCCAGCAGTGGTGAGCAGGCAGACCAAACCAAAATCCTTAGCCTCAGGCCCACAACTTACTAAGAGTGGGAAAACAGTACTGGGTAGTCTCTCTTGGACTCTCTCCCTGACTCTCAAGAGGTAGAGATTAGGAGTAGAATTATATATATTGGCTTGGTTTTACCGACAAGATCTTGGCAAAGAAAAAGGGTGTTTCCTCAACTCTTGGGACCTGGAGCATGGACCCTTCCCACTGTTACAGTCTCTGCCTGCTTCCACTCAATTAGGCCCAGGCATGGAATCCTCTTCCAGGCCTCCCAGGGGAGAGGAGCATTAGCCACTTCTCACTGGTTAACAGCATCTGTGCAGTCACCAGGGCACACACCTCCGTTGGCAGCCCTTGAGGGGCTGGGTATCTCTGGGCAGGGCTTTCTTTCCCCTGGTGGGCCAGGCCTGGCTGAGCATGGCAGCACTCACCGATGGTTTCACATCTTTTGTGAGCATAAATGAGGGCCATGGTGGAGCAAAGAGACACGTCTGGGTGATGCCTGATGCTTTCCAGGTCACTGATCCTGGATGTGCTCTGCAAAGACAGTCCACATAGTTATACTCTCAAGCTCCAGGACTAGAGGACATGCCATTCTGTAGCTGACCCAAAGGCTCAGCACTACCTGGCTTTGCCCAGAATCAGAAGACTAACTGGTCTGAAAGGTCCCCAATGACCCAAGTTCCCTGAAGATTGGAGCTCCCTGAAAGAGTTGCTGGTAGCATGGTCCAGGCTGTTAGGAGCTGGAGATCTTGGACCTGAAAGGTATATCTGTGAGTACTTGTGGGGATGCATGTGAAGCTGCAATGATTAGCTGGATCAGTTCTGAAGAAGGACCTCAGGAAGGGCATTCCCAGCTAGGGCTCAAGAGCCGCTGATTACATTGATCCCTCCATGTCCCCAGACATTGGCCCTGGCCATTCGGCCAGTCCTCAGCCCAGGACGACCTTCTGAATGTCAGCCCATTTGCACCTCCATGGGCCTCACTCCTCTCCCTGTACCTGTACCATGCCTGCCTGTCCCACACCTACCTCTTCCTCCTCTTCTGCCTGTATTACCAGTTCTTAGCTTCCAGGCCTGGAATTACTTCAAGAATCATGCAGCTATCTCTTCAACTACTCATTTCACAGACAGGGAACCCGAGGTGCGGAGCAGGGATAGTGGGTGCTCTGAGGTCTCAAAAGTCAACTGGATATGGATTACCTAGGCTTCCGTGGGTTCCCGCGGGAATCCAGCCACTGAGGGTGAAACTGTTTTGATGGGACCATAACTAGGATACAAGGAGGCATCCAGGTGGAGCCAGAGTGTTAGGGCTGGGCTAGTGCCTGGGGTCACAAGACCAACAATGCCAAGTCCTTACCTTCTCTGAGGACTCCGTAGACTTTAAAGAACTGCAACACAGGGTCATTGCTGAATGTGTCCAGGCCCACAGCTGCAGCCTGCTACACGTGGCGGAAGTATGTTTCCTGGCTATAGTAAATGATCCCAGCCTGCATGAAGGAAGACAGCTGCGATAGCTCAGTCCCTTCTCAGTCTCTGTTCTCTCCCAAATGGGGTGAGACCTGCTCCCTTCCTATCCTCTGCTCCTCCTCAGTTCTCCAAAGGGAAGAGAAAGAGGAAACATTCAGGCCCCATTCTGTCCTCTAGCAGCCCTGGGGGCAGCTCCATGCAGTTTTTCCAGGAAGGAGTTTGGAGATGTTTGGGGGATTAACAGCAGATTCTGGTTCAACTATGATGGGGAATTCAACCCAGGTTTTGCCTTAGGAAGGGAAGCAGAGGAATAAAGACAAATAATAAGAAAAATTATACCAATTGTAGTTGAAAGTTATTGTAGGCTTCATATCCATTATCCTGTGCATGGCCCTCTCAGTGTCTTTCATAGCTAAGGAAGTTTAGGCCCATGGAAATTACAGCTTGACAATGGGGCTGAGATTTTAAACCTAAGTTTCACTTCCCCTAAGGTTTGTGGGTGCTAGGTTGGGAACAGATGTGGTTGGACTGTAAACAGCCTCCTGGGCCATATGAAAGAGCCCAGACACCATCCTAAGGATAACAGAAAGCAGAATGGTTTTAAGGTGAGGGGTGTTTTCCGATGTACATTTTTGCCATAACCATTCTGGCTGCTTCTGCACGTGGGGGTGTGTGCCCTGGTAGCAGTAGGGACTACAGCTGCTCAAGAGAGCCAGAGCAGAGAAATCAGATGGGAGGGAGACTGCTGCAGGCGCTCAGGCGGAGAGATGGTGCTGGTCCTGGGCAAGAAGATAAAAAGATGAAAAGAAAACCCAGGAGACATCGAGGAGCTGGCATTTCTTGTAGACAGGATTAGAGGATGGGTGTAGGGAAGACGTATGAGTTAAGGCTAGGAGATTAAGTGGTGATGCGATCAACTGGCGTGGGAGGCACAGGTAGAGGGAGCTGGGTTGAAGAAGGGATCATGACAAGAAGGGGTAATGAGGGATATTCGATGCGCTGGTATGGCGCAGCTCAAGAACCAGGGATGCTAATTTGGGGCTCACTGGAGAAGACTCGATTGCCAGGGAGATTGAGGGAAGAAAGGGCAGGACCGCCAGACGTAGCTGAGGACAGCGAAGGGTGGCAGGAGAGTAGCCGGGCACGAGGTCGCCGGGTCAGGGGCGGGGAGCTACGAGGGAGAGGTCGGACAGCGCCAGGGCCACGCACCATAAGGGAGGAGTCATTGCTGCTCACCTCCGGCCGCTCGCAGCTCCGAGTCCGAGTCTGGGGGGCGGTGTGGGCCGGGATTCCCGCTGCAGGATCGTGGGCACTCCGTCGCGGCGGGCCGTTGCAGTTACAGTTCTTGGAAACGGAGCTGCTGGCGGGTTGCTAGGAGCGTCAGTGTTTGGAGTGGGCGGAGCAAAGCGCCACGCACGTCGCCAGGCGCAGGAATCGAGCGCCGAGAGAGCGAGTCCGTGCCGGCGGCGCCGGGTCTGCCTGACGGCGCCGCGCAGCCAGACTGGACCGGGTGCCGAGCGGAGCCGCCGCCATGGGTCTGGGCGTCAGCGCCCAACAGCCCGCGGGCGGCGCCGAGGGCTTCCACCTGCACGGGGTGAGTCGCCGCCGCGGCGCCGGTGACCTTGGCGGGGCGCACGCACCCCCGCGCCCTGGCGTCAGCTCGCCGGCTGGCTGGCTACTGCGGCGGGGTCCCGGCTCCAGGTTTTGCGCCTGGGTGGCGGGCGGTGCCCCTGGCCCGGTGGGAGCCGCCTGGGAGAGGCGGCCTCGCGGGACTCCCGCACCCCCGCCAGTCAGCGGCCGCGGTCGAGTCCCGCGCGCGCCCCAAGAGCCGGCAGTGCCGGAAGCGGAGCGTTTCCCGGTCCGGCCGCCGGGTTGGCGCTCCTCCCGGGTGAACAGTGTTGGTGGTGCCACCAGTCGGGACGAACCCGTGCACTTAGCACACATTTACGCTCGCCTGCCGCCCTCCGCACTCCGCGCTCCGTGCTGGGCCTGGGAAGAGTCAGCCACGCCGAGGACAGTCGCGGGGCCGGGGTAACCGAGTGGATGCCGCTGCGGGGGAGCCCGTCGCCGCGCAACTCGCCTGTCGTAGGGTCGTGAGGGCTTTGGGGGTAGAGGGCCGGCGAGAACCAGCCACGGGACGGGGGGAGCGGGAGGGCCAGGAGAGTGCTGCAGAAGTCTCAGGAGAGCGTTTGCAGCTGGGGAGGGTCCCGGCCTTTAGATGGCGCTGCCAGGAGGTGTGGAGAGAGTGGGGTGTCTGGAGTCTGGCAGTGAAGGTGAGGAGAGGGACCCGCAGCCGGATGAAGATTTGTGCCTGCGGAGAGGGAAGGGCTATAATGCAGGTGAGAGGGCCTGGGGATGGGTGGGGGGGGGTCTCTGACCCCGGAGCGCTGCGGGGAAGAGGCGTCCCTGCACCCACCCCTCACTTTCCCTAGTGAAAAGCAGCTGGATGCAGAGATGAGTGGAGACAGGCAAGTTTGTCGGGTTGTGTGTTTTGAAGGTGGGGTCTGTTGCCAGTTAACCACTTGAGAGGGCTAAAGGAGTTTCTTAACACGAAAACCAGGCTGGCTTGGAGAACCCAGAGTTGACGGGATTTGTGCTTGGTAATAATGGGCTTTCTTATGGTGAGGCACCTAACAGCAGGTGTGGACAGCGCAATGCATCCAGCCAGGAGCGTCTTCCATCACGTTTGATTAAAGGCAAAGGAACTCGGGATATGGGCAAGAGGAGGGGTGGGGCGATGATGGGAGCGAAGACAGGAGGGACCTGCCTGATGGAGAGGGGCAAATTGGAGAGGGACCAGGGATCAGAGGTTGTCAGTCACAAAAACATAGTTTTGAGCTCCCACTCTGTGGCAGGCAGAATTCTAAGGCTCCAGAGAAGAAGCAGTGAACACAACAAACATGGTCCCTCTTCTCCTGGAGCTGACATTTGGATGCTGGTTGGGAAAGAGAGAGCTGAAGAAATACATGGTAGGTGGTAATTGCTAGTGAGAAAAAGAAAGCAGGTTAAGGGATACAGAACGGTGAGTGGGTGCTGTTTTTGACAGAGTGGTCAAGAAGGGCCTCTTCTCAAGTCACATTACAACACATGCTTCTGAAGGAAGTAAAGAGTGGACATTACAGATATTTAGGGGATAGTAGTATTCCAGGCAGAAGGACCAGCTTGTGCAGAGGCCCCATGGTGGGTTGTGCTTGTGTGTTTGAGGAAATGCCAGGTGAGGCTGGTGTGCTTGGGTGGTGTGGCCGGTGTGAGGAGGAGACCAGAGCAGACCCTGTAGGACCTTGCCTGTTGTCCTGAAGATTTAAAGTTTTATTCTGAGATGTAGAGCCATCAGGAGGTTTTAAATGGAGGAGTGACATGATCTACTTAAATTTAACAACATTGAAGAACAGCTGTGCTGCATTCTAGGAATATTGGCACCTCGATGTGTGCCCAACACTTTGGAGAAGTCACTGCCCTCAACGAGCTTAGAGTAGTGGCAGATTCACCAGGAAACAGCCATTAGGAGAAGGCAGTGGTTAGGGGGAGGGCTCTGGGTTGGATTTCCTGGGGTCAAATTACTGAATTACTGAGTACTTGTTCTCATCTGTCATTTGAGGTTATTAAAAAGGGTAAATGATACATAAAGCAGGTGAGGTGGTGTCATCCCTTGGCACTCAATCAACCAGCCCTTAGTAAGTGTAAGCTGTGATCCCTGTGAGTTCCATTAGGTTACCTGATTGGGGAAGACAGGGTGGGAGCATTAGGAAAAGCAGTGCCTCTAGGGCTGTGGGCAGGCTGTGATGGAGGCCCTTAGAGAGCTGGATGGCAGGCAGTGCTTTCTGCAGGGGGACAGGACAGTGGGCAGCAGCATAGATTTCAGCTGCAGAGCCATAAAGAGTGGTGACGGGGCCCAGGTCAAAGAAGTGGAGTGTAGCCAAGCACAGGACAAAGCCACAGGAGAGGGTGGGTGGTGGCATGAGCCTCTGGACCTCATTAATGATGGAGAGCAGCTGACATGCAGTATTTGGGAGTAGAGAGGGGAGTAGGCAGGCACCTGATGTGGAGTGGTTTGGAAGTGGACCTGATCAGGGAGCAGCATTGATCCCAAGCTTTTCCTGAATAACTGTCCTGTGGTTTTTGAAAGATCCCCCCTTACCCACCCCAAGGGTTAGAGGGCAGGGCTCAGAGCTCCCCTGCAGAGGGACCTGGGAGCAGCCTGCCCACAGGGCCAAGCGAACTAGGGCCAGAGCTGATTTCTGGGCCACACTCATTCCCTTGAGAAGCCATGGCAGCTTCTGGAGGTGACAAGGAGGGGCTCAGTTGGTGATGTTGCCAGAAGGGAACCCTAATTTCAGGGGCAAACCGACCTTGATCTCAGCGGTTTGTTCTCAGCTTAGTCTCTGAGCTCTCCTTTAGCTTGGAGAATCCAAAACTGGAGGGGGCCGGTGTGTAGCAGGAGCCACGGGGCTTCCCATGAGGAGGCAGCAGGAGCCTGGTCCCTGTGCCTTCTGGGCTGGGTCTGGCTGCTGTCTACACTAGCAGGTCATCAGGTGCCCACAGCCAAAGACCTGAGGGTTTGGGCCCATCTTTGGGTTTAGGACGGTGGGACAAAGCCTGCATTGTTTAAGCCAGGCTCTGTAAATGGGGCTTTGGGGATGGATTTCTGCCACAGCCTGCAAGGCTTGGTGGTTGTGCTTTTGGAGACAGCAGTGAGCTGGGGAGTTCACAGAGGGCCAGGGAGCACCCTGGTACTGGGAATGCTTCCTGGAGGAGGTGTCCTGCACAGGCATGGAGGCTACACTATGAGGCTGGTAGGGTAGCTGAGCCACTGGGAGGCTCCTCAGTCTGGAGCCAGGCAGTGGGGATTGGCACTGCCCACTGGACTCCCTGGCTCAGGCCCAGTCCTACCCCTGGGGTCTGCTCCTCTACCAGTGGCTTTTATCGCCTGCTGGACTGAGCCCATGTCTGCCACCCCAGAGGCTGGGGCGCCCTGGGACCTGGCTGCAAGCTGCCTTTCCCACTCCTCTTTCTGGGCCAGCCCTGGATGTAACCCTCCCGAGGCCTGCCCACTTCCACTGCATGTAAAGGCCCTCCCTTCTTCTCTAGTCTAAACCTTTCTGGTAAACCCTTTTGGCTTTCCAGCCAACCCTAGCCCAGCCCTTGGGAGCAGCATTCCCAAAGGCCTCAGCCATCCTGTCTCCATACTGCCCCCTTGGAGCCCCTAAGGATGTACTGGGCTATGAGCCACTTCTGGAAGCATCTGTGGATCATCAGGAAGGAGCCATTTTCCTAAGAGGAAAATTTATGCCTAGGAAGATAGCAAGAGGGCATGGAGTGAACCTTGAGAATGCCCAGAACAGTTCATGCCAGGCATGTGTTCTGGCTTGGGACCCTGGGGGTGCTGATGGTTCCTGAAATGGGGGTGAGGGCTACTTGGAGAGTCCCAGGCTGGCGCAGTGACTGGCCTTTGCTGTGGGGCAGGTGCAGGAGAATTCCCCGGCCCAGCAGGCGGGCCTGGAACCGTACTTTGACTTCATCACCACCATTGGGCACTCCAGGCTGGTGAGGTTCCCCAACCTGCCTCTGCTTTGCTTGCTTGTGTGTGGTTGTGTCTCCTTGTGTCCGCCTGTCCCGCAGGGGGCCCCAGTCTACCCTTCCCTCCCTTTGTTTCTAAAGGCAGTCCCAGCCCTGTCTCCCCTTCTTGCAGGGTTGTACTCAGAGCCTGACTGGGGCCCTGCTCAGTGCTCAGCTTCTGAGCTCTCTAGGGTGGTCAGAGGACAGATGGCCTCTTGGAGGTGGCCACAAGGCCCAGGGGGCCTGCCTCTTCGGGCGTGAGGGTTATGAGGGCCCTAGTCAAGGGGCAGCTCAAAGTGGGGCGATGCTGTGGACCACGGAGGCCTTTTGCTTGCTTGTTTTTTTCTGGCAGGCTGAGGGAGGAAGGTTTGGCAGTGCTTGGGGGAGGCGGGGGTCCCAGTGGCTGCAAGCTCAACCCTGGTCTGTGAACCTGGCCCATCCACTACCTTGGCCCATCCCCCCACAGTGACCCTGCTGGGGCTGCTGCCCACTGAGGCCCTTGCCCCATCTCAGGCCCAGACTTGTCTAAGGGTCCTAGCCTGGGCATGGGGTGGCCTTGGAGTCAGCCCCACTGCCCTCACAGAACAAGGAGAATGACACGCTGAAGGCACTACTGAAAGCCAATGTGGAGAAGCCTGTGAAGTTAGAGGTGTACAATATGAAGACCATGAAGGTGCGCGAGGTGGAGGTGGTGCCCAGCAACATGTGGGGTGGCCAGGGCCTCCTGGGAGCCAGCGTGCGCTTCTGCAGCTTCCGCAGGGCCAGCGAGCAAGTCTGGCATGTGCTGGTGAGTGTGGGGTCTGGCAGGGCAGGACGTGTCGGAGGGATGAGTTTACTGGGGCAAGTGTGAGGGTGGGACATGCAGGAGGGGCAGCAGCCCTGGAACAGTGGCCAGGGAAGACTCTGAGGGCAGGATGTGGTCTCATCCCAGGGTCTCAGCGAGGGCCGCTCATGACTACCGCAGCAGGGTACCTTGCTTCCTGTTGGCTATGACTTTGGGCCCTTTCTTTCTTACCTTCTGTACCTAGTTTACTTCATTTGAAAGGTAGAAATACCTTCTGCTAGAAAGGTGGTTGTACTGCTGGAATGCTGCTGATTTTACTATTCCGTCTCCCTCCGTGTGTGTGTGTGTGTGTGTGTGCGTGTGCGTGCGCGTGCGTGTGTGCGTGTGCGTGCGCGTGCGTGCGCGTGTGCGTGCGTGTGTGTGCGTGCGTGTGCGCGTGTGCGTGCGTGTGTGTGCGTGCGTGTGTGTGCGCGCGTGCGTGTGTGCGTGTGCGTGTGTGTGTGTGGACACAGTCACGTGTTGCATAACGTTTCAGTCAGCCGTGGACTGCACATATAATAGCGGTCCCATAAGATTATAATAGCAGATTTTTACTGTACGTGATCTATGCCTGAGCGTTTAGACACACAGATTCTTAGCGCTGTGTTACAGTAGCATGCTGTGCAGTGTGCAGCCTAGGAGCAGCAGGCCACAGCATATAGCCTGGGTGTGTGGTAGGCTCTGTGTAGGTTCATGTGAAGTACACTTATGATGCTTGCACAACAATGAAAGCACCCAAGACATTTCTCAGAATGTGTCCCTGTCATTAAGCAACATGACTACATACACACAGGTTTTTCTGGTATATATTAATCGACATCTCAATGCACCTCAGTGACCAAGCTGTCGTAGATCTTAGTCCGTTCACAGACACGCACACCAGTACCTGTGCTCATTGATGGTATGCAAGTTCTCGAAGGCTCAGTCCTGTGGCCTGCTGGAAGGAGGGTGCTCTGAACTAGAAGTTGGCTGGATTGTTTTCTGGCCACTTACTTTTCTCACTGACTTCTTGGGAGAGCCTGGCCAAGCTTCCAGCCTTTGCAGCCTGCCTTAATCTGCCCATGAGGGAAACGGGACTAGTGATGCAAATTGGTTTGCATTTCCCTGGGAGATTGGAGTGGTGGAACTTTCCAAGGGAGAAAGGAACGCTTATTTGTACCCAGTTTTGCCCACTGCCCTCACCTCCAACCCCTAGGAGTCTAGCCACATGCCTGCAGCAGAAGCAGCAACGTAGTGGGTACCTCCTGTGGCAGGGTGTGCTCTGCTTCTTTTCATGTATTTCTCTACTTTTCTCAGCAACCCTGTGGGTAGGTTCTCTCTATCTTTAATTGTGGGGAAACTGAGGCTGAGAGGTTCAATAATGTGTTGACATTGATAGCTGGCATCTGGAGCCAGGAGTTGAGCCCTATCGTGGTACTGCCCTCTGCTGAGCAGGCTGTAAACCTGGGGGAGGTAGGGGAATGGAGGGTGAAGTGAGGGAGGCTGGGCTTGAAGCCCTGCTTAGGGACAGGACAAGTGTCCCACTCACTACCTGAAGAGGCAGTTCCCCCTGCCCTTTCTATCCCACAACCACAGCTCCAGTAGCAAGGCCAACAGTTTACAATTCTTTCCTCAGGATGTGGAACCATCTTCACCTGCTGCTCTTGCTGGCCTGCGCCCCTACACAGACTATGTGGTTGGCTCAGACCAGATCCTCCAGGAGGTGAGGAACCCACGGCTTGCCCCTCCCCAGACCCTCTGGATATGGTGTGGAGAGATGGGTGCTGTCCATGAGAAGTGTCTGGTTTTGCTGAGCTTCAGTCCCGGAAGCAGGCCTCAGGTGCTATGCATTTCTCACAGTCTGAGGACTTCTTTACGCTCATCGAGTCTCATGAGGGGAAGCCCTTGAAGCTGATGGTGTATAATTCCGAGTCTGACTCGTGCCGGGAGGTGACTGTAACTCCCAACGCAGCCTGGGGTGGAGAGGGCAGGTACTTCATGGGGTTGGAGGGCTGCAGGGCCAGCGGGGTGGGGCCTGACCATTAGGCATGGACCTCAGTGTTCTGTGGTGGAGATGGAGGAGGGTTGGGCCCTGGGCCAGGAATCCTGAGGCTGACCAGTGTTTCAGAAGTTCCCTTTTTAGCCCCTCATTGCCGGTGGTAGGTGGGGGTAGCAAAGGTAGGGAGGGCTGTGGGACAAGCCCCTGGATTGAATGTTTCTGGCCTTCGGCAGTCTGGGATGTGGCATTGGCTACGGCTATCTACACCGGATCCCAACTCAGCCCCCCAGCTACCACAAGAAACCACCTGGTGCCCCACCACCTTCTGCTCCATCACCTGGTACCCCACCAACTGATGCCTCACTGCATGGTGCCCCACCACCTGGACCCGCCCCGGAGGACCCTCCTCCCGTGGAGACAGGTTCCAGGCAGAGTGACTACATGGAGGTAAGTAGGGAGTGTCTGCCAGCAGGGAAGAGAGAGGACTCTAGAGACTGCTCTTGGGGAGTCATCGGCAACCCTCACCAGGGGCCTGTCTGTGGGGCCTTTGTGATGTGAGGGGTCCATCTACTTCTGAAACCCAGTGGGAGCAGGCAAGCCATGCCTGGAGCAGTGAAACTCACTTTTGGCTCTCTTGCCCCTTGGGTCTAGAGGTGAGGGTGGAGGTGCAGCACCAGTTGTCATCTTCATTTCACAAGTGGGAAACTGAGGCTCGGAGATGGGTGCTTGCTGTGCCTGTGAGTTGTGGCAAAGCTGGGCAAAGGGCTGGGCCTCCAGAGCCACAGCTGGGATGGTGGTCTGGCCAAGTCTGCAGGGAAGCGCCGGCCCTGCCTTCATGGCTGATGAGTGGGTCCTCTGAGAGCACCTTTGGGCACTGGGCTGGTGCCTGGGGTCTGTGCCAGGGAATATTCAGGGATGCTCTCCAAGTATGTCTGAATTTGAGGAAGGCCCTCTCTTCTTGTGAGTTATTGATGGGGCCCAGGCAGCAGAGGGAATGCGTCAGGGGCAGGTGGGCACCTGGGGTTCCTCGTCCGGGTGGAAAAAGTGCTCCCTCTCAATGCTAAGACTGCGGGGGACGCCAGGCCAGGCCCCTCTGGCCTGACTTCCTGTCACCTATAGAATAAGGAGTGGCTTACTAAGGCCACTTCCTTCTTTCAGGCAGAGCAGTGCTCCTGGGACAAGGGTGGGCTGGTGGTTAAGTTGGACTGCAAAATTCTTCACCTTGAGGCACTGTCCTGATTGTCCCCTACCCATTTCCTCTTCTTCTCTAGGCCCTGCTGCAGGCACCTGGCTCCTCCATGGAGGAACCCCCTTCTGGGCCTGAGAGTCCCAGCCACACTGCTCCAGATTCTGGTGGACTTCCCCGTTCTATGGAGACTCCTCTTCAGCCCCCACCTCCAGTGCAGCGAGTCATGGACCCAGGTACTGGGCAGGCCCTGGAGAGGAGTGAGCCCCAGGTTTGGGGCTGGACTTTGGCAGCCATGTAAAAACTTTCCCCAGGCCCTGCTGACTCCTCATACCTCATGTACACCACCATATGAATAGCTGCCTATCATCCAGTCTAGTGTACAGATGGGGAGTCTGTAGTCCAGAGAAGAGAGGTGGCCGCCTTCAGGTCACACAGCAAATTGGAGACAGAGCAGGGTCTAGGCCCACTGCCACTGTGCTATTCCTATGATGCCCAACTCCAGGCCCCTTTTTCTTCAGAAATAGGCAGTGTGAGAAGCTCTTTAAGGCTGGGTGAGGGGTATCACCAGGGACTGGGGAGATGACAGTCTCACAGGCTGGACCAGATGCCCTAGCCCTAGGCAAGGTGAGTCAGGGTGCTTTCTAGTAGTCGGGGTTTTATGCTGGCAAAGAACTGTACCCCCCTCGCCTAGGCTTCCTGGACGTGTCGGGAATTTCCCTCTTGGACAGCAGCAATGCCAGTGTGTGGCCCAGCCTGCCTTCTTCCACAGAACTGATTTCCACAGCTGTCTCAACCTCAGGGCTCGAGGACATCTGCTCCAGCAGCAGTTCTCATGAGCGGGGTGGTGAGTGGCCATCCCTTTCTGAAGTCCTCTGGGAAGGACCCTGGGTTGTTGGGAAGGATGCCCTGAATTCCTCAGCTGGTCAGAAGCGGGCCATCGGGTTGATACAGCCACACCAAGGTATTTGTACACTCCGTCTCCAATCCCCCATCAAACTGGGAGTGGCAGTGGGGGGCTGTCAGTGGGGTTACTGGCCCTAGTACCAGGGCCCTAGGTTCTTGCAGTCCTCCTCAGCCTGATCTTCTGTGTTGCAGGTGAGGCTACATGGTCTGGATCGGAGTTTGAGGTCTCCTTCCTGGACAGCCCAGCTCCCCAAGCCCAGGCGGACCACCTGCCTCAGCTGACTCTTCCCGACAGTCTCACCTCTGCAGCCTCACCAGAAGATGGGCTGTCCGCCGAGCTGCTTGAAGCTCAGGCTGAGGAGGAACCAGCAAGCACAGAGAGCCCAGATTTGGGGATGGAGGATGAGGGGCTGGCCAGCCAGGCCCAGATCTCTACCGCAGAGAAACACCCTGAGCTGTGACAAGGCCCTGATGACGTATCATGAGGCCAGATGTGGGCAGGCAGCCCAGGCTGCACGAGGCAGTCAGCCCCATGCCGACCCTAGCCCTGTGTGTTCAGCTTTCTGGGCTACAGCTCCAGGTGATGTGCAGGGACTTCCACTGGCAGGGGCTTCTGTGTCCTCACACTCTACTTATAGTGTCCAGGAGGTGACCTCCAGCATTTACCCTGCCTGACAGTCCTGGCTTTGGGGGTTTCAAACAAGTCTTTTTGGGGTAGTTGAGGGCTGGGAGCAGCACCTCAAATTGTTTTATAGGAGCTGCGGTAGGAGAGGAAGGATTCTTTGCTGTTTGGGTGGGGCATGAGGCCTCACTGGATGGTGAGAGGGGGCCATGGGCCTTGTGGGAGGACATCTTTTGGCTGTGTACCCACAGGGCTTGGTCCTGCTCTGTTCACTGGGGCTGCCTAGGAGGCAGCAGGGTCTGGTCATAATCAGTGTGAAGATGAGGAAGGGACTGCTGTCCAGTGTCGGCCTGGTCACTTTGATTCTTCCTGCACAGCTCAGCCCACCCCATCTGTACTGGAAGGGACCCTGGAGCCCTGGGACCACCCCCTTTCAAGTTCCAATCACTGAGTCCTCTGTCAGGTGTCCTTGTCCCTAGGCTACACTGCCACAGTTGGCTCAGGCTGGCCACCATGCTAATCACAGTAGGGAGAGAGGTAGTATACTAGCCCCCATCTCCTGGAGGGAGGTAGGTTGGAAATTCTAGGCCCTTCAGCAGATACCCATTTGTGCCCAGACTGCAGTATTTCTTCTTCCTCAGGGACTGCATGCCACAGAACTGTATCCCCAGTGGCAACTTCTGTTAGCTCCGGAACTTCAACAGTGATCTTTTCTAAACACACAAGGCACCTACCCAGCCCCAACCGTGAATAAAAGTTGCAAGTTTAAGTTCACCACCCTAAGCAGTTTCTCAAAGCCAGTCCACCTGTGAGGTCTATTCACACACAGTCCCCAACCCCAAGGGGGAATTAGGGGCACAGGTAAGAGTAGGTAAAGACCCTTCTGTTCTTTCCTATTGTAGGGGAGGAAGCTGTTCTCCCCACCCCAGGTGCCCTTGGAGGTTATGGCTAGGTTGGGCCCTGTACTCCATCCGGGGACAGCCCCTCATCACCTGAAGTCCTCTGCTGTGTTGACTGGACCCTCACTTCCCACACTGATCCTATGAAAGCTGCCTCTGGCCTTGTCTTCTAGCCTGGGCCTAGTTGAAAGTCTCACCTTTACAGGATTATCTGTAATGCTGGTGTTTGTGCAGGGGACTCGCAAGCTCTTGTTAGGTGTGCAGGACAAGGACTGTCTGCTCTGGGGGACACAGACCAACTATATGGACGGAGGGCCCCAAATCAGCAAACACTTAAGTTTGAAGCAAACCCTTCATTTAAAGCAAACCCTTGTCAAGCCTACCAGAGCAGTGGGAACGTGTTCAGAGTAAGGCATTGTGTCCTGGATTGTCTGTGAAAGTTCGCAGGAATGCAGGAAGTAAAACAGCATCGCCACAGGACTGTTCTGGGGCCAGCTTCCCTTAACGCTGTAGCCCGGCAGTCTGACCCAAAGTTGCCCTCACCCGAAGGTTCTGGCTCTTCCTCACTCTTACTTCCCCTTCCCCCATAAGCTGGAGGATAAAATGGGTATCAATGCTAATTATTTCCAGGAAGAACATGAAACCAGAGGTTTCTTTTTCTGTAATCTATTAAAGAAAATGACAAATGAAAATAAATGTGTACTACACTTTGAAATATTTTAACTAAAGCCTTTATTCTATACAACTGTGAAATACATATTTTTACCCTTTTGGCATTGCAGACTGTCAGATTTTCTGGAAACTGTATTACGGTTTGACTGGAGGGGAAAAAATACCATCATGCTGGGGGTCGGATCTATGACAGGAGGGGATGCAGCCACCCAAGGCTTAGCACACAGGGCAAAATGACCCAGCAAAACCCATCTCTTTGCTCAAAGGCCCCTCGTGCAAACGCAACTGAGGGCTGGTAAATAAGTTTTTTTTGTTGTTTTGCCATTAATTCACAACTATTGCTAAAAAATGTGCACCAAAAGCGCACCGTTGTATACAACAGATAGAAAGGACTTTTTAAAAAAAGAAGCTGGTTGCTCTCTGAGGAAGGGAGAAAGACCATTTCAGCTTACTGGAAGTGTGGCCACGTCTTTGCTCACTTCTTCAAAGTGCAGGCGGCAATGGCCTGTCCAGTTTCCAAAGGAAGCTGACTAGCAGTGAGGGAACCCTGTCTCTGCAGTTGTGCGATCACAATATCTTAAATAGTAAGGTATGGACCTAGGCCCATCAGCTGCCCCCAGCTAAACCTGTGAAGATGTAGAAAAGAAAAAACCTTCCCTACCTCCCTCCCCAGTCCCTGCTATCGTGGAGACAGGCCACACACGAGCTAGGGAGGCAACTGGACTGGAATAAACTGCCCTCTGAAGGCACTTGTGCTTCTGGCTTCGTACATGAGGCTTGTCTTACAGTTTTACGGGGGTGGACCATAGATCTACTCTGAGTACAAATGGCCTTGGGGAGAATCCAAAGTATTTTTTGCCAAAAGTTGAAGTGTTTATCCCCAATAAGTTACATTCTATACAAGATCCAAATGATTCTATGAAAACGTTAGATTGTTAGAACAGTGAAAAAAAGATCTGGATACAGGCACAACAAAAACCTGCATACAAAACTTTGGAAAAACAACTATGTATACTTCCAGGACATGAGCATCAAATTAACTCACTATGATCTCCCTTTACTCTGATACCATAACTTTTAGGTAACATGTGAATGAAACTGAAATTTCATCATGGTCTTAAGTTTTGATGGTGTCATGCGTCTCATCCAGAGCAAGAACCTGTGGTCTCAGCTCACCTTGTGGAAATAAAACTGGACACAGTGGAGGAAGGAGTGAAATGGCTGTACCTCCCTGGGATTGCCACCAAGCCAGGACATTACGGGAGGGTGCAGCATCGCTAGGCACAGGCTGCGCAAACGCTGGCCCAGCAGGCCAAGTGCTGTGATCCAGCACCTGGAATTTCAACAGGTCTTCCTACAAGAACACATCTGAGAGGCAATATTAAAAACAAGCCCAACATTAATCTTTTATTATGAAATGGGCTGGTTCTCAAATTGTGCAACAGCAAATTCCCATTAAAAATAACTGTCTTAAGTGGTGAAAACAATTTTTTTATATGACAAACTTGGAAAAAGCCTTCTTATCTATTGCATGAATGGAATGTACTCTTTTAGAAAAGCTACAGAGTGTGTGGGTTTGAAGTTGAAACAGAGACAGATGTGGCCTGACCAACGTGTCTCTAACAAGTGCTAACGGACAGATAAGGTCCTTTGAAACAAAAGGAGGAAGGAAAGTCTGCACTGGCCTGTTGTCAGTCTTCTGTACATCTCGAAAGGCAGAGTCTGCTTGGGGCTCTTCTGCTTTTGCACTCTGCTTCCCTGGGGGATAGCTTAATCTACACATGGAGACTGGTTTCTATATTACATCTCGATTAGTCACTTCAATTGAAAGATAATCTCAGTCCACACCAAATCGGCCGTTAGAAGTCTTGCTCCCATTGGGGCTCAGTGGGCTTCCTAGGACTACTCTTGGGGCCATAGAGGAAGGTCGTAAATGAATACCCAGGAGCATTAGCCCACCCTTCACGTGGACTTCTGACGGTAATGGAGGGTGAGGTCTCCACCGCTCTTCCATATGAAGTGTTTCACTGTTCGAAGGTCCATATTTGGATCCAAAACCTGGATAGCCAAAATTAAATTAAAAAATTTCAAAGTCTCTGATATCTAAAACCTTTCTCATTAACTCAGGGACTCTCATCAGGTGATCCAGCTTGCTCACTCCTCCCCTATGCCTGGTGTCACGGCTTCCATGCAGGCAGGAACGAAATTGAGCTTAGTGAGAAGTGCATCTTTTGTGACTATGCCAGAAACACCAGGCCATCTTTCAGCCATTCCTCTGAGGATACGTTTTGAGTGCATTTTGATTTAAAAAACAGTTCTGCCATTTTTCCACATACCTTCACTCTAAATCATAAACTAACATGGCACATGCTGCTTTGCAAATGAAGAAGACCGTGTGTCTTTTTCTCGTCAGAAAAAAAAGCTACCAGCGTATCCACATCTGTCTATGTGTCTCTTCTCTGAAAATCTCCGCAGCAGTAAAGAGCTTTAGAGTGGGCTGAAGAGCCCCTCCAAAGGGGACGCACAGATAGGTGGGAGAGGCCCAGGGCTCCTTAGAGCCTCCCTAAAAGTTGAAGCCCCCAGACCCAAAGGCAATAGATTTGGAACTATAATACATCATCACGTAATTCCTTATGAGCACCAGCACTGGCAAAAATGGGGCTGTGGTCCTCAAGTCCACTTACCTGGTCCTGGCACAAAAGTTCAATTTTCTCCTCTGCCAACACAGCAATATCCTCTTCTTTTTCCTGTTCTCCTGGTTTTTCATTATTAGAAGAGCTAGTGGTTTGAGACTCATTATCCAAGTTGATAATTTTTTCATAAACATGTTCCATAACTTTCCGGACCTGGAGCATGTCACTAGCAGAGAGTCTATCTCTGTAAAAAGCAATGGCATATTGTGACATCAGGGAAATCACTGAGGTATTATCTTTTCCAAATTCTTTTTCTTTGATGTGAACGTTTTATAAAGATGAAAAATAAACCCATGTTTTTAGTCATTCCCTTAATCCATTTTTAGAGTTGCCAAAGGATTTTCTACAGTGTCCTTCAAAGACACAGTTTATGTACAACTAAATGAGATTAATTCATGTCCTTAAAACTTGCATGTACAGGCCAGGTGTGGTGCCTCATGCCTGTAATCTCGGCACTTTGGGAGGCCGAGGCAGGTGGATCACTTCAGGTCAGGAGTTCGAGACCAGCCTGGCTAACCAACATGGTGAAACCCTGTCTCTACCAAAATACAAAAAATTAGCTGGGCGTGGTGGTGCATGCCTGTAATCTCAGCTACTCGGGAGGCAGAGGCTGCGGTGAGCCGAGATCATGCCACTACACTCTAGCCTGGGCGACAGAGTGAGGCTCCATTTAAAAAAAAAACAAACCAACTAAAGAAACAAAAACACTACATATGCATACATAGTAGCCTTCTGGGTTTTATTCCCTTGAATGCTTTCCCAGAGCCTGGGCAAACTAAATAATTCTGGAAAGGAAGGCAGCTCCCAATGCTTACCAGGGTCCAACACTGAGTGCTCAGCTTTCCCTGGGCTCTCCTCCCCACTGCCATGCCTTCAACTAGCACCTGTGGGCCTGAGTCTAGACCTGGAGTCTCAGGCTTCTGTTCTAAACCACAAATCCAACAGCTGGATATCCTACAGGCACCTCAAACTCTGCATGTCCCAAACTAGATTCATCAACACCCTACTTCTGTATCTCCACCACACCAAAAAACTAAGGCTTACACTCTGAAAACCATTTGAACATCAGTTGTTAAGTCTATCTGAAGTGATGTCTAGGACTCAGTTTAAAATAATCGTGTATGTGAGTGTGTGTGTGTGTGTGTGTGTATGTGTGTGGAGGGAGGTGGGTGAGAGGGCAGGGAGAGGTATAGATGAAGCAAAATGTTAAGCAAGGTATTGATAATTACTGAAGCTATCTGATAGGACAATGGGGGCTCACTATCCTTTCTGTGTAAGTTCGGAAATCTCTGTAATAAAAGGGTTTTGAAAACTTTCGATTTTACTTGCTAGAATATACATATTCTTAACAGTTTAGCATTCCATTACTACACTACTAAAATTCCTCTCTTGGGTGTCCCTAGGCCATATCCCACATTGGCTCAAAAGTTTCTGGTGTTTAGCCACTGCACACTCTATGGCTTGGCATTCAAATCCAGCATCAGCAAAACCTCTAAAACCTCTAACCGCCTTTCTAGTTTCCGTCCTAGTATCCCCCTGCTGCCCCTCCATCCCACGCTGCAGTTGCACGGGTCCTCCCACTACTTTCCACTATCTTACACATGCTCCCACTGCCACATCCCTGATCACACCATGTCCTGGACTTGGAATATCTATCTTTTGAAGTTCTACCCATCTTTACATGTCCAGATCAAATTCCACGTCTTTCAAGAAGCCTGTCTGGAAAGCTCCAGCCAAAAACTCATTTTTTTCTCCCATTCTTATTATTCCCTAAGTATCCAAACAGCAATTATATACAGGTTGTGTCCTAAACTGTGAATTATGGCAACAGACAAAATGCATGTTTTATTTATTTTATCATTTTTTCCTTAGAGACAAGGTCTCTCTCTGTTGCCCAAGCTAGAGTGCAGTGGCATGATCTTTGCACACTGCAGCCTCAAAGCTCTGAGGACCCTCCTACTTTACCCCCTGGCTAGCTTGGACTACAGGTGTGTGCTACCATGCACAGCTAATTTTTTTACTTAAATCTTTCCTAGAGACGGGTTTCACGACATTCCCCTGGGTGGTCTCAAACTCCTGGCATCAATTAATTCTCCCACCTCAGCCTCCCAAAGTGCTGGGATTATAGGTATGAGCCACTGTGCCTGGCCTTATTTACTTCTGAACACCTGCAGTCGGCTAAAGTTGGTACCTGGTAAGTGGTTTAATCATAAACTTTCAATATTATAAAATCAGCCTTAGATTTGGTATTTGCTTCCTTTGCCACAAAAGCAATCATAAGGAAAAGGAATTATCTCCAGTAGTTAATTCGATCAAGAAACCATATGTTTACTTACTTTTTTAAGGTTTT